ACCTCTCTCCATGGAATCGGTCCCTGGTCCCCAAAAGGTTGGGGACCTCTGAGATACTTGATTCTGCTTTATCAGTTCCAGTAATTACTATAGCAGTTGCTAATCTGAGGAGAAAAACAAGAGTCACTACTTGTAGGTGACATGTTATAATGAGACGCAACTTCCTGCAAAGAATAGTTCTGGAATGTTTCAAATTGGGTGCTTGCAAGCACAAACCTTGTATATGCGAATTCACAGATGACCATTTGAAATATGAGAATTACAGACAGTTAAACATTTTAATGGGCCACAGTGATTGCTACATTGGAATTAAAAGTAGAACAGCCAACTGTAAATAACTTTGGAAATGAAAGCTTAAAACATCAAGATACCTAGGATTTTTGGAACCAAAACAGTGATAAACCATGTAGGATTTCAGTTGATTAAACCTAAGAAAAAGAGATGCTGGACGTCTCAGAAAAAAAGTTGACTTGTTCCTTGTTAGTGATATTTACCCATTCCATCTTTGAAAGCTCAATGTATACAAAGGAACTGGTTTTTTTTATCAGGGAGGCAGAGATTTGTCCCAATTTAATGACCTGACTGATTGTTGAGTTGGTTTCTAAAAGTTATAGCCTATGAATATAAGAGAATTTTAATCTTTATTTCCTTTCTTTTATTCCTTTAGCCTCATGGATCGAGAAGTAGCCCTACTTGGTGAAATGGACAAAGTAAAAGCAGAAGCAAGTAAGTTTTATAAAGCACAACTATGTTAATATCTTTGTCCTGAAACCGTATAAGACTACCAGATTTTTGAAGTAAGCAGTCCAAGACAAAATACAAAGAAGGACTTCAATTCTGGTGTTTCCAGATATGTAAACCATACTATATACATACAGGTCGGCTATTTTTTTTTTATCACATCTAGTTGCATAGGTTCATGTTTCAAATATCTTGTAATTACATATACGTGGGTAAGATCTGGTTTTGCTCTTGACTTAACAACCATTCATTTAGTGACCGTACAAACTTACAGTGGCACTGAAAAAAGTGAGTTATGACTATTTTTCACACTTAACGACCATTGCAGCATCCCTGTGGTCACGTGGTCAGAATTCGGGCTCTTGGCTACAGGCAGGCATTTCCGCCACTGCGTTGTCCTGTGGCCACCTTTTGTCACCTTCCCAGCTGGTCACCTTCTGCGAACGTTTGACGAAACAAAGCCAATGGGGGGGAAGCCAGATTCACGTACCAACTGCATGATTCACTTAACAACTTCAGTGATTTGCTTAACAACTGTGGCAAAAAAAAAGTAAAATGGGGTGCAACTCACTTCATTGTCTTGCTTAGCAATGGAAATGTTGGGGTCAGTTGTCATAAGTCAAGGACTACATGCATTTATTTCCAAGTATAGTGCCATAGTTAATCCTAGTTGCCATTACACCAGAAAAGCATGTGGGGTTTCCTCATTCCAAGCACAGTGTTAAAACAGAGGCCTCCTAAGGCTTCTGTGTGTGCATTTATATGCTGATTTACTTATCCCGAATGAAAACTACCACTGTCTCATTCTCTGTGACCATTCCAACTGGTATGAAACTTAAAGAATCCAAATATACAGGAAAGTGCAAGAATAAAATATGTGCCCAGCCAGCCCGATTGTCTGAATTGAGACTGCTTGTGATCCTCTAATCTTCATATCTAAATAAACCTGTGGCTACCATTACTGCTACTACTACTGTAGTATGTGTCAATGCCAAGACATCCAATGTTAGCAGCATCATGGTTCCGACAGTATGAACTTTGTACGTGCCATGAAAAAATGTGGGTTCCCCAGAACAAGGTAATGAGAATACATAACTCCTTGAAGCTCTTAATTGATATGCAACTTGATTAATGTGGCTCATAGGTCTAGTCCTCACTTAATTTGCTCAGCGACTAGTTGAAGGTGCTGAATAAGTGCTATTTATGACCCATCCTCAAAAGTTCCAGCTGTCCCAGCATCCCATCCAGTCTGGGTCCTTGGCAACCAGCTCACACAGCAGGTGCATCCTCCCACAGTCACATGACCACCATTTGGGACCTTCACTGCTGGCTTCTCAAAAGCAAAGTCAATGGAGAAGCCAGCAGCGAAGGTTGAAGTCGCTTGCACTCTCCACCACCTGGCAGCACCCACCCTTGGTCCCGACAAGCTTGCTCTGCACCTTGCTGGCCACCCTTGCACCTTCCCCCACCTGGTAGCAGCCCCACTTAACCTGCCTGCCAGCCAGCCTGCATACAAATCACTTTGGACTCACTTAAAGATACATGAACTTGGCTTAACAACAGCAATTGGGAAACGCTGGGATTGCTGTCACTAAGCAATACGGGCAGGTCACGTCATATTTTATGATTGCATCGCTTAGTAACGGAAGTTCCAGTCCCGATAACTATTGTTAAGTGAGGACTAGCTGTATATCAAAGAAGTAATTCCCATTACTTCTCAAAAGCTGCAGTTCTTTCTGCTTCTGTTCCCCGGGGCTTGATTGTAGTATCTATATGCTTTTCTCCTTACAAGACAAAAGACCTACTTTGATGTACCATCATTCATTGGCAAAAGAGTACAGGAGAAAAGAGTTATAAACTGCACCCTGCCCAAAGCATTGCAATCAAGTAAACAACCAATTTGACTTGGTAACTTCCCTTTTTTTATTAAAAAGGGAGACAGAGAAAGAAAGCAAAGGCCCCTATTCACAGATTTCATGTGTTGAGCTTGAGCTACATAGGCATCTGTCAGTTTCGGGAATTTAAGAGTTCTCGCCCTGTTGCCTAGGTAATTATCCCCTGGCATTTAACTCCAGTCTTCTTAGGTATTGTCCAAGGCCTCAAGCATTTTTCAGATGTATTGCAGAGCTAAAGCTGACCTTTGAAGGATAAACTAAAATATTGGGGAAAGGGGAGAATAGGGGCTGGCAGGAATTAGATTTGTAGCAACTAGACCAGTGGTGGCGAACCTATGGCACGTGTGCCAGAGGCGGCACTCAGAGCCCTCTCTGTGGGTACGCGTGCTGTCACCCCAGTCCTAGGCCTTCAGCTGGGTTTTATAAAACCTTTTCACTTTAGGCCTCTGTCGCCGTGTGCAAAAAAAAAAGGTTCAATCAGTCAATTTCAACTTCTCGCGGGTAAAAAAAAGATCTTGCAAAGTTGGAAGTGATTGAACTTTTTAGTCCCACCCAGTGGGCCACACCCATCCGGCACTCAACGATGCATAAGTGGGTTTTGGGTTGCAGTTTGGGTACTCAGTCTCTAAAAGGTTCGCCATCACTGAACTAGACATTCTGTTTTGTGCTTTAATTGCTTAATTATTCTATTTATTATAAATGTGATTGCCTTTTGGGGGTTCTGTTTTACCTTATAGTGGAAATCCTAATCAGCCGCCAAAAGAAGGCAGGGGCACTGAAGANAATCATCCGTCTGTTGGAGCCCATCACAAATGCAGCCTAATTAGTCATCTGAACTTTCTGATCAGATTCTGTGATTGCCTTGAACATTAGAATTATGTGTATGTAGCTCAAACAGTTAAGCAGGCATACCATATCTGATATTGAAGATACAATAAAAGAATAAAATACAAAGTACATAGGCAGTTCAGCCCTTCAGGCCCACTTCTACCTAATATTGGTCTGAGAAACAAATCCATTGCTTGTGACTTCATCAGCCTTGCCATCAGGATTGCTTTCAAACACAAATTCTCTAGTTCCCCTGTACAGATAGCTCTTGTTTAGCAACCACTCATTCAGCGACCATTCAGAGTTACGATGGCACTGAACCAGGAGACTTACAAGCAGTCCTCGTAGTTAGAGCTGTTGTAGCATCCTTGTGGTCATGTGATTGCAATTTGGGCACTTAGCAACCAGCATTTATTTATGATGGTTGCAGTGTCATGTGGTCACTATTTGTGACCTTCCCCACTGGCTTCCCACAAGCACTGGGGAAGCCAGCAGGAAGTCTCAAATGGCAATCACATGATGTTCTGCTTAATGACTACACGGAATTTACTTAATGATGGGAACCAGAACTGCCAGAACTACTGATGTAAGTTGGCATGGTCATGTGAGGTCGCACTTCACAACCACATCACAATGGAGTTGCCAGTCCCAATTAAGTGAGGACTAGTTCTCTTTCATTCATAAAGGCAAGCAACAGAACTCTACTTTGCAGCTGCTTTAATAGCAGCATAAAGGCTGATATCTATCCTGTTTTCATTCTCCTCACTGTCAGGATTTTATTGGCTTTCCTTGGCTTGTTGTCCTGAATAGAAGCTGGAACATATTTACGGATGGTTACTAGGATTTAGAATTGCATCATCATCCATAGCCTTTGTTATGACAACCCCTGAATCATTGCTGGGATTGTTCAACCTCTGAGATGCAAGCTTTCAGTTATTATGTTTTATCCTTTACCAGTTGTTTCTCTGGATGCATCTAAACTGACACCTATTCATGTAGATATTCAAAATCTGTTATCACCCATCTCTGCATGATTTAGTAGAACTGTGGGACAGATAACTGCTCTGAATTATCCTCAACCTCTGAGGAATTAAAACTGAAATATCAGATGGTGCCTTTATCTCTTTCTCAGATTCATGACCCAGCATCCCCCCTTAGGAAACCTTTTGAGCTTTTTCAGATTCCATTAAAATTGCTGTATTTCGGGGCAATATTTTTATTAAAACATTTAAAGGGGCAAAACAAAACAGCTACCAAAAAAAAGAAGATAGAGATGTGGTGGACAAACAATAAAATATCAACAGATCATGTTTTATTTATTTCCTTGTTCCTTGTTAATTGAGGGTGGTAGTGAAGATCAGAGAAGCAGCTGTGTGGCGAACAGCTCTTGGTAGCCATGCCAACCTCTGCTGAGACTCCTGAGGGGAATGTCTTTTCACAGACTTTTAGAGGTTCTAATGATGCCCATAAATAATCTCTGTGCATTTACTATCCTGCATTTACTAGACCACTTTTTTCTCACTAGAGTATTACAGCATGGAGTGTGAGTGAGCTTTGCCCCCTATAAACAAATTCCTGGCATTCCATAGGAATAAACTGAGGCTGGCAAAGCCTGTTCTCTTGCATATCAACCAGGAATTTATTCTTCCTATTTTCTTTCCAAATCTGTCTTCCTTTTTGGACTATGCTAGGGATGCTTAGGAGGCTAGAAGCCCTTCATAAGGAGCAGTATATTCTCCTCTACTCTGAACAGATTAAGGAAGTGGTACCTGTGTCATTCAAAACATTGCTATTTTGATATGCTGTGAGCTGGCAAAGGAGCCCAGTCTATACTAGATCATTCCACTTCAGCTACGTATGTGCCTCTATATGCTGGTTCTTGTATTGTATAGATCTGTACTAGTACCATCAGTGTTTCTTCTCAATCAGCAGTTTTGTCTGAATGGTTCTTTGGTGCTAACCCAGAGGAAATCACGGCGAAAAAGAAGAGATTAACTTTTAACCTGAAACTCTGGTTCTTCAAGTGGTCACCAGTATGCAACAAGCCACCAGGTTAAGAATGCCCTGGTTTAAGGACAACCCAGAGTTCAGTCTAGAATGTGTTCTATCAAAATCTGAGTTAAATACGCAATGGTTCAAGTTAATGACGCAATACTATTTACACAGTATTATATAATTATACTGTTCTGGCTTTACATACAGATTTGACTTAAAGACAGACCTTGGGAACGGAACTTGTTCTTTTTTTTTTCTTTCCAAAGAAATTTTATTATTTTCCATCATAAAAAAACAATCATAAACATAAATAAACACAATAACAAGTAACCCCCCCCCCCCGGACTTCCCAAACCTAATCCCAGGATAATATTCATATATAAGTAAGCAAATACTAATATCTCTAACTCCACAAAATATCTTAATCTACATGAAAAGATAGAAAGAGTAAACAAAATAAGAAAATCTAAAAACCTAAATTATATTCTACCACTCTATGCTTCTTTTGAATATAAACAATCCATCTTCTCCATATTAATAAAAATTGTTCATTCGAGTAGTTCTTCAAATAAGCCGAAATCTTTGCCATTTCAGCAAGATACGAAACTTTCAATCTCCAGTCTTCCATTGTAGGCAGAATTGGGCTCTTCCAATTTTGGGCTATCAGCAAACGGGCTGCAGTTATACAATAAAGCATCAAATTTATTTCTTTTGCATCTAAATCTTGCACAATACCTAAGAGAAACAGCTGTGGGAGAAAAATAATCCTTTTTTTAAAGATTTGCTGTAAGTTCCACCACAATTGTATCCAAAAGGCCTTAATAACCTTACAAGTCCACCACAT